TTTGCTCTCTCCTCGGTTGCCAACATGGCATTAGACCTCTGAGCCAACACTTTAGCTTCAATATTCAAGACCTTTATGGCCTCTTCCATAGCCTCTCTACTGACAGCCATACATTTTCTCAACTTGATGTTGGCTGTCAACAGGGAGATAGTCCTTGCTGTCACTGCTTCCATAACATAAAGCATGGTCAAAAGTTCATGGCTAAAGATGAATGCACTGTATTCATCTCTTTAGCCCTTGTAGTAATCTGGGTCTTTCTACCATCCATGCCAATATTGATGGCTGAGTGGCCAATGGCTCTTTTTTCCTGGGGGACCTCCGCCATAGTGAGGAAACGAGGGAAATAAAAATTAAACAATTTAGGTCAGAGTTAAAATCTCTTTGGAAACAATATAAAATCGCGAAACCGGAAGAAAGACAACTCTTACAAGAACCAAGTTTGGAGAGGTTTCCGGCTGTTCACCCATCAAAAGTAAGGCCGGGATAGCCACTGATGGCGTTGAAATTATGGTAACTGTTACCAGGAAAAATTTCATCGACTTGCATCCCCTCCCCACCAGCAGGATGCCCCGAATGGGGAGACCAAGAAATCAAAAAAGCCACCGCAGGAGCAGAAATGCAATCATTATCAGCAGCAGTAAAATGACTGGCAGAAGAAGCCTCAACTGGAGCAGGAGAGCCAGCAAAATATGCCAAATAGGCAGTCTCTGGAGCGGTGCCTTAACTCACAGGAAAAAGCGCTACTAAGACCCCTCTTTAAAATGACTTCGGCTGATGTGGAGTCAGTAGAGGACGCGAGAAACTTCCCTAAAGCTCTGGGTGTCATAACTTGGATTAGGGACACGGGGAGAGGTTTAAATGTTTGGGTCCACCTTTGGGCGGCGAAGGAAGCCATGAGAATGGCGGAGGTGGGACAACCCGATTTAAAAAAATTGCAAAAGACCTGATTGTTTTGTGTAATACAATGTTCTCAAATGTTGAGAAAATATGTTGATTTGTTAGCAGGAATGTGTTTAACTTCTGCGTAAAGGAATTTGGTGAGTGAATAAGAATAAAGTTCACTGATAAGTTTTGATGAGTGAGTTGTATAATGTTCGTATGAACGAAAAATTTAAAATTGTGCGACGGAAAATTTAGTTGCAATTCGATTGATGTTGCAATTCTCACTGGCGAGTGTGAAATGAGTTTCTGTTTTTATTTGCTTTGGATGGCTAACAGAGACTTGGCGCGAACTTAGATTTCAGTCACGAGAATTAGTTAAGCCGAAGCGTGGTGGATAGTCATGCCTACTTGTATATTTATTAACCAATGCGGGCTCGAGATTTTTTTTGAAAGTGTTCTGTGATCCACTTTTTTCACAGATTTGACCCAACTATATATATTATATTTCTAATAATGTAGAATTTGGGTTCTACAAGTGTACGAAATTTTTTGACAGCATTAAATCTTTCACTGATCACTGGAATTAAATTCCAACGCTCCAATTTTGAACTTAAACTTCATTTTTCAAGTCGTTTCCTCAAAAAACGGTAACGATTTAGAAAAAAAAAAAGTTATTAATTTATCATGCCAAACCCACAACTTTCCTATTCAGTGCAATACCATGGTTCAAAAATCCACCTAGTGTCTAGTGAAAAGATTTATTTAACTAAATATGTAGCAACATTACAACACTAACGTTGCAATGACAACGTCAGATCATTTTTTTTATTCTGATTTAAAGAGTTATTGAATTCTCATATATCATTATTCTTCTTCTGATAAAAGATAATTCAGAATTATTTCCTTTTCGAACATCCGTTAAAAAAATAATTAAAATTCCTTTAAAAATGGTTCACATTCGAAAATGGCATTGTATTATGGTGGAGTAATGGATAGCGGCTTGGACTGAGGAATCGGAGTACCGAGTTCGAATTCCAGTCGAATCCATTACATTCACTTACGTGAAAAAGGCATGAATCCTCTTTTTCTCCCCTCAGCTATGAGTAAATAGCAGGACGGACCGGGTTCTATTTAGCCTTGGATGGTAACTGGTCTACCGTAGAAAGAAATGACAACCTACTGCAGGAAAAAAATCTGCAAAGTCGGTCATGTATCGAAATATACATGATCGCCTAAGCATGTATCACGCATAGCACATAACTGTTCATTACATATTTCAATTTTTTTTTCTTCAAAACTGCCTTTTTTAAACTATATTTAATAAAAAGAACGCTTACGAACAGCAACGAACGGGATTAATTTGAAAATCGCATTTTTTTTAATAAGTATAGAGGATTTTTCCCCTGTCCAATCTGAATCAAAATAATGTTTTATTAAGGTCTAATAAAACATTCAACGTCGTTTTTCCCGAAAAAAGCAAAAGTTGGTGGTAGTAATTATTAAAAATAGGTAACTCCACGAAATCGCTAAAAAAAATAGCATAGCATGATGAAAAAGACACCAAACTTGACGAAAACAAAATTTTATCGTCAAAATGTTTGTTATTATTAGGAAAGACCAAAGTTTTTTTAATTATTTTTTAAAAAATTTTCTTTCTTTTTAGAAAATTCTAAATTTTGATTAAAAAAACCTTGTCCCTCTTTCTTTGTATCACCGGAACTAGTAAAATAACATACAATTTTTAGCACGTTTTTTTTTTTTTTTTTTTTTACAGACATTAATTTGGAAAATCTTGCAAAAAATAAAAATAATTCTCGGATGTTAATGAAACTTTCAGAAACTATTCACAGATTATCAAAATTATTATAAATATGTTTTTTTTTTTTATTAAAGTCATGGCAGAAATATTTTTTTTATATTTATTACCCCCACCCCCAACTAATTTTATGAAAACGCTAGAAATTCGATTGCATCGGGTTTAGTGATTACAATAGTTAAAAGCACAGGGCTTTGAGGAATGCAAATCATGTTTTTTTGTTTTTTTAAATTGGATCCGCACGACCTGAAAATCAGCTCTGAATTGTAACATACAAAACTCAATAAAACAAAGGTATTATTTAATTTCAAATGCTTTTATTTGCTTTTAGTTGTTTTTATGAATATGGACAATATTTTCTGAAAGCAAAAAAAATTTTCGATGAAAAATGAATTAATACAATTATTTGTTATTTCTTTAATTATAATAGATTTTTATATTTAAGTTGTTAAAATATTATAAAATTAGTTAAAAAGCCGCATTGGGTTTCCTAAATGTCCTTATGAGATAGATCTTTTTTTTTTTTTTAACGTTTGTAAATTGTATCATTTTGACTAATCAGAAGATCCGCAGTAATTAAGAAATGTAATTTTGTGTTTATAATCGGGCTGTAATTATAAAGTACGGAAGACCAACCAGAATACAATTAAGTTGCATTATTTGAGTTAAGCATTGTTCTCCACTGTTAAGGCCTTTTACTTTTGTGGAGAAGTTAATTTGATTTTTCAATTTCAACTGAGAAGGGTACCTACAAGTATCAGTATCATCTTATGAAATTTATATGATCTTATTTTTATATTAATCTCAGTTATGACATTTTTCCATAAATGAAATATCAAAATTAATAATAAAATGAATAGAAATACAAATAACACAGTAAAATGTAATAAATGTACATAAAATTATAGTATTTTATGTACACTTCTGATAAAATTTCATAAGAAAGGTACCTATAAATTAATTAGATACCTTTCTTATGAAATATGAAATTTAATCTCACTCTTAACAGTCTTATTCTTATTTTAATTTCTTTATAATATATTTTCCATAAAGCATCGTAAACGTAAAGGTGAAAGCTAAGTACAAAAAACTAATTAGAGCGTGAAAGTTTTCCTTAAAAATAACGAGGTAAATAATTTGTTCAGAATCTAAATAACTTCACTTTTCGGCTTTCGTAGAACAATTATGATCACGTAAATCCGTCAATACGTCATTCATCACCTGTCAAGTGACGCGACAGGTTATGACCTGCTTTGTTTTATTTTCAAATTACATCTTTTCGACGCAGAAGCTAAGTCATCCTTGGTTCAAAATATTTTAAATAAACATAATTTCTGATTTTCTTAAAATAAGTTTTGAAAAAATGATAATTGATTTTTAAAAGAATTTCTAAGTGAGATTTTCGTCTTTTTTATAAAATGGAATGGATGCCATAATCGATTATCTGTCAATTTTGCTGTCTCAAAAAAAAAAAAACAAGATTTTTAACGAAAATTTCGGACGTGCTCGGAACGATTAAAAAATGTATAAAAATACCCCCAAAATACTTTGATCTTTCCTCTTATTTAAACGATAAAATTTTGTTTTCGTCAAGTTCGGCGTCTTTTTCATCATGCTATGCTCTTTTTTAACGATCTCGAGGTGCTCCAACTTTCGAAACATTTTTGGCAAATTTTTAAAAGCAGTGGTTAACAACTTTTGCTTTTTTCGGGAAAAACGACTTTGAATTTTGGTGGTAGCTACTCCACCTCCCTTCCCTAACCGAAATTCGGGCTTTGTTACCAACCTTAACAAAGCGTACGCTTACTTTTCCATCCGTGACTTCCTCCCCTCCCCTGCAACTGAAATGTTAAATAAAAGTGCCACAAATTGTCTTTCTGTTAATTCAACTTCATTGCACGAATTCATTTTTAGATCAATACCATATTAAAAACAAATAAAGGCAAGTGCTTTTCTTTTTATTCTAATAATTTATTCTTTCAGAAACAGACTTTTCATTTTATTTAACAGTGAGTACGAGGCTTGTTTTATTACTTAAAAAACTAACCAGCAATAAACTCCATATATAATTTTCTAAATTAAATAATTTTATTTTTTGTGAAATTTTTCGCTAATAAAAAAAGAAAACCTTTGGTATTTCTTTTTGTTGCAATTCAAACTGAATAATCGGTTTCCTGTTTCAATATATTTAAAAAAGTTATTTTTTAGAGAGTTATGTCATTGTGAGAAAAGAAAAACGAAACAAACATAAAACCTCAATTTCACACGTATTGCTCATAGAAAGTTTAAGCGACTGGCCATAATGACGTCTTCTGCTGTTTTGTCACTAAATTCTTTCTTTAATTTCTCTCATGCAATTTGTCGTGGCATTCCTAACAGTTTAAAGGAGGAAGCACTTCGCATGGAAGACAACGATCCAGTCAACTTGGAGATCGCAAGGAAGAATTTTGAAATTTATAAATACACCCTTGAATCATGTGGGGTTGAAGTGATATCTTTAGAAGCTGATGAATCTTACCCCGACTGTGTTTTTGTTGAAGACACTTGCGTTGTTATTGGAAATGTAGCTTTCATTACGCGGCCAGGACACCCAAACCGAAGGGATGAGGTAAGAAAATCGGTAGCGAAATCACTAATTTTACTTTGTGAGTATATGAAATAATTTTGGCGCTACTACACTTTCTCACACACCCCTGTCAACAACCACACGATGTTTTTTGTCTTCAGTTCTTATTTAGTTTAAAAAAAAAACAAATACGAATATATTTCCCTTTTTTTTCTTAATATTTAATTTGTGGATTTTCATTAAATTACATTTCATTATCTTTCTGACTTTCTTTTTAGAAACTTTTGACAGCAGAAGCTTTTTAAAATTATTGCTAGTGTTTGTAAATTAAATTTAATTATTAATAATTGCAAATGTCCAACTTGTTATTCTAAATGGTTAATTTGCAGGAAAGGGAAAAATAAGTACGGTAGGAAAAAGTCATATAACTAGAATAGAAATAGAAAAGATCAAACGTAACATTGTGTAGTAAGTCGAAGACGTTGGTTATGAACTTGCATTTTAAAGTCATTTTCATAAAGTATCATAAAGAAAGAGCAATGCTTCAAATACGAATATTTTTATTTTTAGATTAAATTTTTATGTTGACATTTCTTGCTAGCTAATGTTTTTTATTGATAAATTCAAAACATTGCTATCATTTAGTTTTTTAAAATATTTAACTCGACTGCATTATGACTTTTTTGAGTCATCTAAATTAAATTTATTAACAGCTTGCGAAATCCCACGTTAATTCAGCCTTGCCCTTGTGTTGCATTTTTTTTTGTATGACACGGGCATACTTATTAAAAAAAAATATTATTATTGGAATGTATTCCATAGCCCAATCCAATGACGGGACAGCATTTAACTGTAACATTGCCAAAGTTACAGAAAAAAAACAAAAAAAAACACAATTTATGTTGGCCGGTAATAGTCGTCTATTTCTGTCAGGTACTTTCACGAGTTTCTGTTTATGAGTCCGTTCTCTTTGCAACAGAAATTAATAAATCGACCCAACCTCTACCAAAAAACGTTCCTAACGCTGCAGTCACATAGCGAGTCCTAGTAGTCCCATAAGACCCGGCTTTATGAAGGAAGCCTTTAAGGGTCTTTTTCTAAAGTACCGTGATTGTATATGAAGATAAGATTTATTTCTAGCAATGCCACGGTCACATATTCTTCTTAAATTGAATTCATATATTTCACAATTAGAGAGTTCTAGTATCCCATAAAGACCAGACTTTGCGAAGAAAGCCCCAATTTGCCATTAAAATTTGAAATGTTCCTTTAATTTTCAATTTATTTATGAGACTGGGATTTGGGAATATAAGAGGCTGGGTTTTTGCCCCCTTTTTTTTTTTTTCCTGGATTCCATTTAGCTACCACCACAGTCAATAATTTAAAAAATCATTTTGCAATATAATTTAAATTAAGTATGTCCACTGTTTTCGCGGAAAAACAGCATAGCGTAAATGAAAAATGCCACAAACTTAAAGAAAATAAAGTATTATCGTCAAAATGCTTATGTTATTATTAAGATTTGGAAATTCTTGTAAAAATAGAATAATTGTCCAATCTTAATGAAATTTTCAGGACTTATTCACAAATGAATGAAATTATTTTTCAAATATTTTGTTTTTAGAAAATTTTGGTAAAAAATATTTTTTTTTAAATATGTTACCGGTTACCCCCCACTTAGTTAATTTCATGAAATTTCGCCCAAAACCTTTTTGGCTCCTCAATTTTATTTTTTTGTTAAAAGAAGGAGTCTTTGGAGATGGTAAATAACCTACTTTTCTTTCACAAATTTGAGCTACTTAACTGAAAATCTTGTAGAATTGAAAAATAATGAATCCAATAAAACTATGATATTACTTAATTAGAAAAGCTTTTAATTGCTTTTGTAAATAAGTAATATTAAGGACATTATTGTCTGAAGAAATAATTTTTTTCTGATGAATAATTAATTTTTACAAGAATTTTTTCGTTTTTTAAGAAGTTTTAATTATAATAATTTATAATAGTTTAACATCGCGTAAAGCTCTGTATTAGGAGGGCCCCTCAATATTATGTAGTAATTAAGTAGAAAAAAAATTTACGAATCCAAATTTGCTAAGTTTAATAAATTTAGTTGAGCTACTTTTTTTTTTAAAATAATTTTTTATGTTGTATTTTTTTACTTAATACATTCCTTTCCTTATTTCCATGTATGATATACAGAAATTGCCATTATTATAACAAGGTCACGTGATCTAAGGGTTTTGTCCCTTTACGTGGCTTTTTCAAAACATTTCATTTATTAACAGATTGTATTTTCCGATCAGCTGTAAAAGTGTAAACTTTAAATTTTAAATTATTTTTTTTTTTTTTTCATTTACTATTTCACTAAATAATTTTATTTTATGTATTGTATTTCCATTAGTGTGTGTCATACTAAAATAGAATATTTTTTTAAAAACTCAGACTTAAAAATTATGTCATTTATGGTCATCAGTAGTAGCTGTTATCGGCTCGTCAATCAACCAGTATCAATAAGATCGAACAGATGAACGAGACCGCTCGTAAATAATTGCTTGTATATTATTTTTTTATGCTATAAGTAACAAAGATTTCTTTGAAATCAGATTACTTTAACTTTAAATTTTTAATTTTACTAAAATAACGTGTCAGAATTTTTTTTTAAATATTTTAAAAATCGATAAATTTGTGTTTGTTTACAAATTTCTTAAAATTAAGAAAATGGCCGTTTTAAGAAAATTTAAAATTTGAAATTAAATTTGACAATCAAATGTATATAGTTTCTATCTGAAATACACCAGAATTGTTTAATTAATAGAAATCGTAAATTTAGTTATTAAACTTTCAATTAAAGCTAAAATGAAATCTTCAAGAATGTTTTTTCATTGTAAAAAATTCATTTTAAACTTCAATATAGAAAATTTATGCCGAAATAGTGGACATACCCAATTTAAATATATTGTTTGAAGTAAAAAATAAAATGATTGGTACAACAAAAAATGTCTAGAATCGGAGCCATAATTCTCCTAAATCGTTTGTTTTTGCTCATTCATGCGGATACTTGTTGGTTCCTTTTTCTCTGATAAAAACGCTTTCCAACTATTCTATTGTTTCTGTATGAACTAAAGATTCATGTCAGCAAAATTATTTTCAATTTTTCATGAATTAACTTTGTAATTGTACCTCAGAATCCCATTTGCGCCAACCATCAAAATGATCGTAAAAAATAAAGGATTTTTTTTTATTTGTTTAAAAAAAAAAAAATGAAAACAAATAAATATTTGACGTAACGTTTTAATTTATAACGGCCTAAGGCCAAGGGCACACAAAGATAAACAACACGAGTCTAAAAAGCAAACGATAAATTTATTAACACACACACACAATGAAAGAATTACACAAAAAAACTAAGTGTTTTGTGTGCCAAGTGATTACCAATAACATGTATGTATGCTATAAATAATCATTGCAAATAAATATATGCCACTTACTTTTATAATAAAATCACTAGGTCCTTAGAAACTCAGCTGTGAGGGTTCCTATACCTCCTCTAAACTTAAAATCAATTCAGGTTTGCTATGGTAAAAATTTTCTATCCCAGGTAAAAATCACCACAAAAATGGCAGAAGTCATTTTGTCACAGCTTATTTTCTCTGAAAAAATGAATTTTCATACTTATTGAAAAATGACTGGTTATCATCATCTGAACAAAATATCAAGGAAACTTTTGATCTGAACCCCATGAAACTAGGTATTTTCTGAAATGTTCTTTCATTTTAAAGTAAAATGTGAAAAAATAGTCACAATTTTGCATTTTTGTCTAGTTCTAAACAAAATTTTTCCCCAATAATGGGGAAATTAACCATGTTTTTTCTTTTTAAAATCAGAACACCTAACCAAATCATAATCAAACTATTTCAGGTATAAAATTGAGAGTTTGATGGAAAACAACATTCCTAGGGGGTCAAAATGCGACAAAGTCCGTTGGTAATTTTCAATTATATAACAGCCAGGGGTTAAAGAAATTGACACACGGCCACGGAAATATCTAGTAAAAGGAGAAAGATTTATCCGCAGTTCCTGACAGATGTCTTTATTTACAAAAATCAGCATGGTTGTGTACATAAAATAAAAATTCAAAATTCTTTGAATTGTAGTAAGCTTTTCCATTTGTAGTTAGTAAATATTATTATTATTTTTTGCTAAAAAAACAGCATAGCATGATGAAAAAAGGCCCAGAACAAAAGCAAAGTTTTATTGTCAAAATGTTTGTTAGTTATTATTAAGTGGAAAGACCAAAGCATTTTTTTAATTATTAATGGAAATGTTTTCTTGTCTATTATTAATCACATCTGTGAAATGTTTATCTGTACATTTTACTACCTTGTAAGGACTTCTATAAGCACTGATTGTAATAATTGTTTGGTTGCATTGTCTTTTACTAGCAGTTGCAGTGTTTGAATGATTCTGGTACATATGTTACATGGGTTGATTGTCTAGAAAATGAAGATGTTACTTGAGACATCTCAACATATTTACAAATAAAGCAGAATCCAAGAGTGGTTCATTTTGGTTTGATTATTAACTCTCCTGGTAGACATAAAGGTTTGCCATATACAAGTTTTGCTGCAGAACTGTGAATAAGATTTTACAGCTGTTCTTAGCCCTAAAAGTATTAACATAATATTCTGAAGCCAAGAAGTATAATTTAGTGCTGTTTTCAGGGATTCCTACAAAGAACAATGAAAATGTTTTAATCATGCTGTTAGCTTCAGGATGTAGTTGTGCAAGCAGTTATACAAATTCTAGTTGTACCAAGCAGGTTTGTTAGAGAAGCGAAAAAGGAAGATTCAAATTGTGTTCCTCTGGTGATGGAACATAAAACCTTGTGCAACTGATTTTACACTGATATCAGTAGATTCAATTATTCAGGTCAGCAGGTGAATACAGTTAAGGAGATAGTAATATTCATGACAGATGGAATGGTCCAGTGATGCCCACATAGACATGATCAAATCAAGTATCAGGAACAGGAAGTAATG